CACACTCCAACAATTCACGCTAACTCTCACACTCTCTCGGCAATTATGAATATAGGCGTGAAAAGAAGATGATAAAAATCCTCCAACACCCTCTTTTAAACAAGGCCGAAAATGAGGGGGAAAGACCTCACTAATGAACGTGAAAAGCCATCAAAATGAAGGAGAAAGGCTCGGCATTTGAAGAGAACAAATGGGAAAAGAGGCTACATAGGAACTCACGGCCTTTTTGGCATGACTTGGAACAAGAATCTAGCATGCTACATGACAATGAAGGCGCGGCATTTTAAGAGGACAAGTGGGACAATGCCTCAAAACTCACGCACGGCTAGAGGACAAAGAGGAAAGCATCTCTTGGACAAAACCACACTACATGACAAGGGGGGGCGCACGGACTCTCGAACACACGCACGAGCGTATGCACGGCATTATGCACAAGGACATGGACCGAGCAATGCACGGCATTTGCGAACAATGCACGGCTATGAACATGAACTCGGAATAAAATCCGAACAATTAAGCTAATCTCGTGATCAAGTTAAATTAATCACTTAATTATGTTTAATTATCCAATTAAACATAATGCTAAATTACCAAAATTAATCCGGACGTAAACGGTACGTCGAAAATAATCTTCGGTAATCTCGACTGAAATAACTGAAAATGATTAATTCTGAAAAATAATATCGGAACTAAAATATTATTATACTAATAAAAAGTCGGGATATTACAGTTTTGGGTACAGTTGTTGTGGAAACCCTTGGGAAAGACCTATTTCTATTGGAATGTATAGTAGTAGTAGTCTAAGATCTTTCAGGAAAAGGACTAGGAACTACCCATCGGCTCGGGAGTAAGGAGCAGCCAGAGAAAGGAGTTAGAGAAATCCTATACTTCTATGCATGCATATAGAATATCGGGATTTAGATCCATTAGGGAAAAAGGTACCTGGTTCGGTATAATAGAGCTGGGACAGCTGGGTTTCGGACTTTTCAGTCCAGTACCTGAAGCCGTAAAAGGGACTAGTTTCATTGTCTAAATATTTGTACAATATTGAGCCCTAAAACCAACCAAGGAACTCATTCATATATGAAAGCGGGTGTGGAATAACAAATTCCCTAGTCCTAACATATGGAACAATGGAAGGAACTCTTCTTTGACTGCCAAGCGTATCGAACAAGTGTATTCAAGCTTCAGGCCCCTTCTCCTAGCGTATCTTACAAAAGAACGATTCTTCCCATCTCCTGATCTATCATCGATATACACGCGTATTCAATACCGAAATCCAATAGCTGGTCTAGTCCTGTCTTAGCGAAAAGGATTTCTCATGGTATTCAGTAGGGTTGGTTAGTATTCTTTTCCATGAGGGATTGGCAATGGAAGTCATATCGAAAGAGGAGGGTTTCATCCGTATGATATCACCGTAGGTAGCGTCCGTCTCTTGTACTAGTTATATCCAAACCAGAGGAATGAATCAAAGACAGATGTACATGCGTAGCCATCAAAGAAGCAAAGGAAGAAACATTCTTTAGCCTTCGGGTATTCAATACCTTTCAAATCGTACTCCTATCCTCTTCTCTTGTCATCTCTCTTACTGGTGTTATCCGTTACCCGTGTTCCTGTCTTCCTTGAACCTGCTTACCTACCCGTGTACCCGAGGAGTCCTCTTTCATTATGATTCTCTCTTCTCTGAGCTTACCTTGATACCCGAGGTACGAGCCTGACTTACCTTTAACCTGGACTGTTTCCTGAGCCTGCAAAGAACGAGGAATTCTAAAGCAAGGGATCAAGCCAAAGCCAATCCGTAAACGGGAAAGGAGCTCTTGAAGAAGAGGGCCAATGCCAGTCCTTGACAAAGGAAGGAAGATGTTTCAGTAGTATTAGTTCTTTCCGAATGTGTCTTCCATATCGAACAAACCAAAGGTACTCATCAATAGCTGGTATTTCTCATGGAAGGTTTCGAGCGTTGCGATCGAACCAGTCCTTTCATTGTTGCGTTCCAAAAGCAGAGTTTCTTATTTTTATGACGAATTATACGCTCGTTCCTCTCTTTTTCTTCACTTCGCTTTGCTTCGTTCGTTGCGTTCGGGAAAACGCGTTTCTCTTATATGACATTTCTGAGGTTGGTATTAGGGGATTGGGACAGGCTCTATCAAGACCTAGCTTCTATTTACGCGTGAGGGGAACGCAAATGGATGAGCCCTAGCGGGGATGTTACGCTCCCGACTACTATACCGTAGTTGACTCAATTATTTGAGACTTCCCCCTCCTTCTATTAGGAACGAATTTTTTCCA